TGCGATATTTTAGGTCCAAAAATTCTATTAAATAAAAACCTCTTACTGGAAAAAAACAACAACAACGAAAAACCAAAATTCATTGTCTCAGAAAATTCTAATATTACATAGACATACTTCTGATACATTTAGCTGTGTTCTGCTTTGTATGTGTTTTATTTGATTTGTTTCATATTTCATCCATGTTTTCAATTATTAGATGAAATTTGCCAATAAATAGATTGAAAATATATTTATTGCAGCTTTTCATTTTTAATATTAATTTACAATATGGTCACCCAACACTTAACAATAGGCTCTACCTCAAGAGGTAGAGGAGCCAAATGTCTGGCTCACTGCTGCCAACTAGTGGTCAGAGGCTGAACTACAACATAAAAATGAACGGAAAGTTGACATTTTAAACCTTAATAAAAAAAATCGATACAGGGCTTTAGAATACTGATACAGTATCGGGAAATGAAATATTGCGATATTTCAGTGTATTGATATTTTCTTACACCCCTAGTACAAAAGCCCCGTCAAATACCGTCGGTGGGTCAGGAGTTTGGGCTGGGATGTAAAAATGAAACCAGTAAATGAAAGGAAGTCAAAACAAAGTTCCCATGAGGACAGAAGCAGAGGTCGATCAATATTTGTGGTTTTTTCTTGTATCAGCCGATACGTGCATGTGTTCATCAGTACGATAAAAACAAACAATTCGTTTTATATTTAAAGGTTCCACATTGTTTACAATCCTCTCATCCTTTTGTTTCATTTGTTTTGTTTAAATTGAAATTGTCCAACGTTTCTTATTATTGTGTCAATTTAACCATATGAATGGAGGAAGAAAAAGCTTTATCTGTTTCAAGACTGGACCCCCACAAAAGAATCGGCAGCTCATATGGGGGATCGGTTGGGCTAATGTCAATAAAATAAACAATAATAATAATAAATAGTATAAACCTAATCGGTATCGACATCGGCTTAAAATAAAACTATCAGTCGATCTCTAGATAAAAGTACAAAAATGTGTGTGTGTGTGCAGGTTGGTATTCCCTACTATGTGGGGACAATTCGTAACTACTTGGACCAACTTATGAGGACCTAATATTAGTCCCCATGGGGGGGAGGGGCATGTTGTTGGTGGGTCGGGGTTGGGTTTAGGACTAAGATGTGAATTTAGGTTAGGGTCTTGTGAGGTCAGGGTTAGGCAGCACTAATCTGAAAATTAGTTTCACTAACTAAAACACTAACTCAAATATTTAGGTCCCCTAACTCTAAAGCACTAAAATAACGCAGTCAACAGACAACATGAGTCACATGTTGCTCTTTTAACTTTTATCGTTGTCATTCCACAGCTGGATTTGTGTTCATTTATTGTCACCTGGTGGATAAGTGACACACATTTAACATAGCTGTTAATGTTGATCAATAACATTTATAGACCTCAATTAGTGCTTATAAATTTGGCAAGTGCTAATCCACTAATACATTTTAAAATGAGCAAAAGCCCTAAAGCACTAATCAGGAAATTAGTTCCCTGATTAGTGCTTTAGAGCATGGGTTGTCAAGCCATTTGGGTCTGGGGAACTCTTACAAGGACAAAAATWAATCAATTTCAGGGACCCCCTCATAAATTGTATGCTGTTTTAAAAGATAATTTATTGTCCTTAAATGCCGTGAGAATATATATTTTTATTAAGTTTGTTATGTTTGTTTTATTAGTTCATTGTTCTCCATGCATCTTTAAAAATAAAAACCAAATTAACATTTTAGTAAAAATTTTTGAGGACCCCCAGGATACCTCTTGCGGACCCCTGGGGGTCCAGGGACCCCAGTTTGAGAACCTCTGATTTATGGGAACTGTGCCCACCATTGGGTTTAGAGTGGGGGGTCAGGCTGGAGAGATTAATGGAAGTCAATACAAAGTCCACATAAAGATGGCTGCACTGGACCATGTGTGTGTGTGTGTGTGTGTGTGTGTGTGTGTGTGTG